ACCCAAGAAGGAAATAGCAATCCGTTCTTGCTGATAGAAACAATGGGACCGGGTGGCTTCCATCGCGTCGACACGACTGAGGAAAGCGAAACTTTGAGTGAGATGGAGAGATTGAGACAGAGAGAGAGAGAGAGAGAGAGAGAGAGAGAGAGAGAGAGAGAGAGTGAGTGAGTGGGTGTCTAGCAGAAAAAACGACGCAGTGGAAGAAAACGACAGGTGCGCACGACCACGGAGCTGGCCAACAACCTCGTCAACGAGGCCGCACCGGAAAACCACGGCGGGGATCAGTCGAGCCGACTGCACGTAAATACGTAGTTCCTTGAACTCGATCTCCTATTTTCAGAATATAGAACGGGGACCACCTAGACCAAGTCTCCGCGATAATTGTTAACTTTGTATTCTTATCTCGATTGTCTTCCATTGTCGTTTCCTTCATTATCGTCATCGTCATCTTCGTCTTCTTCTCCTCCGACAGTCAGTTTTATATCTCTGATCATTAGGAGCGATGTTTTCGGATAACTCTACGTCACCCTACGTCGCCCCAACCCCCGGCATTTCACGACTTTCGGCCGACTGATCGCTGTTATAATCGTCCTACACGCACAGTTCTGCGCAGCCGATTAAATTGCTGTTCGAGAGGCGTAATTTCGCGGGCCTTGAGTAAATAATTCTTCCGATATGCAATGGTTTCGATGAGAAATATAATATCAATATATTATTCGAAAAGCATTTTGTTTATAAAGCCGTGACTAAATCAATACTGCGTTTCAAACGCTATAAAGTCAGAAAGGAAATGCCGTTTCATTGGCTGTCATTATATCGAGGAATCTTTTATCTTTTGTCGGACTCTTTCAAGAGCGCATAATTTCTACAATACACAATGTTTCGGGATGTGCCTTGATAATCGAATGTTCTAACGACTAATTGAACGATTAAACGGATACGAATAAAGCATTACATTGAAAGTGCTCGTGCTCGTGCTCGTGCGTGTGCGTGTGCGTGCGCGCGCAGCTGAATGCCCTAGTCATGTATGCTTTTAACATCGTAATCAGTGTGTTTAGGTAAAATAGATAATATGAAAGGTCTTCTTTGCCGAGCCTTCAATTTCCCTACGCTAATGAAATTTTAAAAGAAGGAATAAGCAGCGTAGGAAAAGCGTTTTTTTTTTTTTTTTTTTTTTTTTTTTTTTTTTAATTTACAAGTAAAGGATGCAAAATTTCTAGAAGAGAATTGAATGTTCCGATCCTTGGATTTAGTAAACGGCCGGCATTTGCCACGCGTCTCAAAATGTCAATCAAAAGTTAATGGAAACGCGCAAAATTACATATCAACGTTGATAGAAATAAGTCTTCATGCGCAACGCATACTTTCTCACTATTTTCTCCCCACTACCTCGAACGCGTGATTTCGCGTGTACCTTACTTGCCTACACTTCATAAAATCACCGATTCAAATATCCACAAGCGCGACTCTTCACTTAAATTCGCCGATTGTCTTTTAGCGCAATGGAACGTTAAATCGCGACACCTTAGCGCGATTTATTAAAGCTCGAGTCGGAAATATCGTTGTAATTGGAAAGGACAAGTCGGGCACTCGAGTCAGTCCGAGTATTTTCCATCGTCGTTAATTGTCGGCGGCACGTCATCCAAAAATACAGCCAGCGACTCGATCTATTATTCGACGTAATGGCAAAAACCAATGGGCTTTGAATGGTTGCGACCCGAAATAGCGCTCGCGTAATAAAGTCTGCAGGAAATAAAGGAAAGCGAAGCGGCGCACGAATGAGGAAGGCGGGTGAGAACGTAATGAAAGCGAAATCACCCTCGCGAGCCGATGGTCATTAATTTCTCGCCCCGGATACCACGGCATTTACCTTCCAAGCACAGTGTGTAACCGAGTGGTAACATCCGCGCGCGGCGCCCATTGAACAAAACCGACGGGACCCACGGCTTCCCGCGCGCTCCCATTCATCAACAATCTCCGACAACGACGAAGACGAAGACGGTCGCGCAGTAGAAGAAGAAGAAGAAGAAGAAGAAGACGACGAAACCGGCGCGGGATTTCCTGTCTCGCGCGCATCCCGGGGGCCTCGCGGCCACGGCGTCACGGCTCGAGGCGCCAGTCTTGCCGCGCCTCCCGGACGACGCGGTCGCGCGCCTCGTCCCATTGTCTCGCCGGGCCACCGGTCCCGCGCTACCACTCCATCGCTCCAACGCTCGCTCCACCACTGCCCAAGATGTTCAGGATGTGCTGCCACGGTGGCTCGCAAGGTACGCGCGATATCGACGCGGCTCACCTCCAAAATCATTATCTAACGTTAAATAAGCCCATGACTTATAGGATATTCAACCTCGGCGCTACGCTACATGCAATTTTAACGACATTCGGTCTTCCATTTTGGAGGGACGATTACGGGGTGTGACGCATACGCTGATACGTCGATCGGTCGATCGGTCGATCCTCCTGCTATCGTCGAGTCGCAATTTCATTAAACTAACAATAATTTAACGGGGAACTCTTTCGAAGCGGTCGCACTTATTAACTCGCGTCATTATCGTCGACAACAACGTTTGCGCGCAAGGTAGAACGAATGGCAATTTGTGTTCACAACGATAATCCAAACAGTGCTTCTACTATGAAATTTTTATTCGCTAATGTCTCAACTGCACGAAGAATCATTAAGATGGGAACTCGAATGGTAACGTCAAGTGATCCCACCTCTATCTTGTCAACTTTATGATATTCACGTAAAAAATAATGCGTTGACGAGCCGATATATTTCCCTTCGTTCTCCCTTTCATGCGTAAATTCATAAATAAGAGAGAGAGAGAGAGAGAGATCCGATGTGATATGTATAAGCCGGCTTTTCCCGGCTAAAGAATCTCAAGATTGCCGCGAGCCGATTGTTAAACGTAAATAACGTTTCAGCCTACACCGAAGTAAATCTCCCCATTTTCGCGGAGCGAATTCCTCGCGAAACTTTCCCCGTATCACACTGCCTTCCTCGATCGTTGGTATGCTCACATACGCATAATTATTACTTACAGCTACATTCGTTTCCATTGGAGCATGAATGTATATATATATATATATATATATATATATATATATGTGCGTGTGTGTGTGTGTGTGTGTGTGCGCGCGCGGGCGCGCGCGTACTTTTGCGTATGTGTATGTATGTTGAGGCGCAAGCATATCGGCGTAAGTGTGTGCTCGGGCTATTCTATCTCGAGCATTTCAATCAATTCCGACGTTGATAATAATGTTTTACCTACGACATTCTGTTTTCTCGCAACTTTCTATGAATCATCCTACTTGTCGATAATAACTCGTAATGTATTGCTTATCTCATTCTTTTATTAGTCAACAAAGTTTTTTCGTAAAACAAGTTGACACCCATATCATTATGAAATGAAAGGTTTGATAATTATAAGAAACCAGTATGGAAAGTAGCTCGTTCTAATCCACCAATACCAATCTTACTTTTGTACTTCGTCCCGCACCTTTACTATTTTCTAGCACAGCCACGAACACTTGTCTAATTCTAATTATGCAAAGTTAAAAATTCATTTAAAATAATAACACGAGTTGCGTGGGAATTTTTATAAAAAACATATCGTACGCATTGTGATTGGGATTACGATTGGATAATATTTTTACAAGTCTTGCCTCTATTTAGTGACGTTCAATGTCATTGCAATTATTTCAATGTATTTAGCTTGAAGTGTCATGTACCTATGGAGTTGGAATATATAAAATAGTCTAGATAATATGTCAATAATGAAATATTTGAATTTAATTCAAAGTAATGAAAATTGCTTGCGGCTTGTAAATACAATATTCGTCTCAAATACAACCTCATTGTACACTAAAATGATTGAGTCGAGGAATGGTACTTGTATAGCGGTATTTTCATACTACTACCGATATCCATGATAATGAAGTAATTGTTTCTGGAAACGATTCAGAATAAAAAAAAAACAAAAAACAAACAAAAAAACAAAAAAAATCTTTCGATGTCAATGTGAAACTGTCGACAAAGTCAAAAAAGTCTTTCGAATATTTTTCCTCGTGTATTTCTGCAATGTACAAGTAACATACATGAGCTTTAATCGATTCTTTTCAATTTATAAAATTTATCACTTAAAATCATGAAGTGAATGTACGAGAAGTACGCATATTATATTACGTATGTTTTTAAAATTATTATTCGCCTTTTTCATCCTGATATTCTTGATAAGTTGCTTCGAAATATCAACAGTTTACTTAATCATAATGTACTATTATTATTTTGTTTTTAATAAAAATCATAAAATTATCCGTAAAATTAGCGTAATACATGTGAAAACAGTTTATAATGTGCATAAAATCAGCATAGAAAGTCATAAAAGTCGGTAGTAAGGAAAGTTTTTGCAAATACATTTAAATCTTCCAATACATCCAAAGAACGAAAATCCCTCGTGCATGTAACACAAATCGACGTAGCTATTATTAATGTAATTATATATATATATATATATATATATATATGTATATATATAGATAATTGTCGAATGCATGTTGAATGGAATAATGTAGAAAGTCAGGTCCGTGCAATTAGACAAACTTTCGTCGAGCATTGGTACTCTAAAGGGACTATACTATCCTTTCAACTTACGAATATTAAGACAATGAAGAGTCTAAATCAACGAAGCATTAACATCAGATAAATTACATCTAAGGGGATATTCAGTTTTAATGATCTGGCAACGTCTCGGTCGAATTGATAAATTCATGGATTCATTGAGAAGAGGAGGAGAGCAAAACGACAAAACGGTTTCATTCGAGTTAACAAACTTGCCTTCTCGCCTAATGAATTGCAACTCCCATCTCCCCTCTACTGCTGCTGTTGCTTCACCCTACCCTCGGCTGTCCCACAGTCGTCCGCCGCCCATCCACCAGCGACGGGTAAAGTAGCCACTTGTGAAACAATCGTCTGACCGACATTTCGTTTATTACAGACATGTCGCCGGTACGATGGAGCCGGCGCAGGTCCTCGAGCTCCGAGGAGTCCGAGCGCAACTGCTACAACGTACAGACATCGAGCGTGACGACCGAGCGCGTCACCTCATCCTCCTCCGCGACCTCGAGCAGCGCCCACAAGAAGGATAAGAAGAAGATACGGGAGGAGCGGCGTAGGGTGTGCGAGAAGATGAATCCGCTGTTGGAGCGAGTGCGGAACGCCCGGCTGAACTTCGCCGGGCAGGAGGACGAGGGTCGTGAGCAGAGCCAGCAGTTCCGCTCGATGTGCGAGCTGCGCGCAGGGGGCCTCGGCCGCGGCGACTTCCGGCGCTCGATCTGCGACAGCGAGCTCAAGCAGATGATCCCGCGGGAGCCCGACGACGAGGACGAGGAGTCCGAGGGGCCGCAGCGCGAGGACGAGGAACAGGAGCAGGAGCAGGAGCAGGAGCAGGAGCAAGAGGAAGAGGAGGAGGAGGAGGAGGAGGAGGAGGAGGAGGAGACCGAGGAGACGGAGCTCAAGGGCCGTAAGCGAAGGTTCGGTTGTCAGCGCGAGGAGCGCTTCGTACTCTTCGGCTTCAAGCTGAACGAGAGTCCGAAGCCGAGGAGGCGCAGATGGCGGCGCAGCAAGGACCCCGCTGGCAGAAAGAGCGATGCCGAGCACGAGGCAGGCGGGGTGAGGCACGCGGAGACCGAGGGACCCGGGCGCACCAAGTCAACCAAGTCCCAAGCAAAGGGGACGAGCGGGGGCTCGAGGCTCGACAGCCTGACCCCCTCGAGCTGCCTCGCGGCCAAATTCAGGGCGATCCAGAACAGGTGGGTCGAGCCCCGAGGCTCCTTCCGAGTCCGAGCCATCTCTACTTGTAGCGATAAACGACGATATAACTAGCCGTCGTGCGATCCCACCCGCATGATGCGCCCACCAACCACTTCCTCTCTCGATCCGTGAGTACCATACTCAACCGGGTACGACGAGGACAGGGTGTGCTTTTAAAAAATTTAACGACGCTCGCCGCCCGTTCTTTCTCTCGTCAATCTCGTCACGTTTATCTCAACTCGTGTCAACTCGGCCCTAAGAAGCATTCGACGTCGAGTGGTAGGAAGCTCGGCGAACACCGAGCGATTATTTAATCATCCGTTAAGCGAGGAGCTTGATCGCAAGCGCGGCCCCGTCTCGTCTCCTGCGTGCTTTACAAACTTTAACGCTTAGCCAATGATAAGCAATCGCTTTTATCTTAGCCACGAGTGTCGAGAGCAAAGAAGCTCCGGCGCAGCTTATTCGTTTGCGCTTCCTTCTTTCGTTTAACGACGTTCAACGGACGCTGCATTTACACGTGATTTTCACGAGACGACAATGGAGCGCCTCCGTTAGATTTACATAGGGAAGCTGTAAGAATTCGCGATTGGGGATCGTCCGCTTTCTTTAAGCTGAAGTGGAATGTGAGCAATTTGACTGGACGAGGCTCAGCTCATTATAATAGTTGGTTTCACTTTCACGGCGTTTTCTCCTCGGATTAGTATAAGCGGACGTTTAAAAACGCAAAATTTCAATTAACGAAAGAGATTCCGTTGCCATTGGTCCTCCTCCCTCGCCTAGGAGTGATCGACCCATCAGCCTCGTCTGCGGCTTAATACATCTGCGTAATGACCGGGGGCTAAACGAAGACTCTTAATCCGCTAGGCGATTGAAAATGTGATAATCTTCGTGGCGACGTATTGGCGGGGGGAAAATACATAAGACTTGAAAAATAAACTCACAAGTTTAAATGAATTAGGTAAGTAGTAAGGTCTTGCAACATTATTTGCCAATAACTTTTATGGGAGGGGGGGAGGGGGGGTGGTGGTGGTGGTGGTGGTGGTGGTGGTGGTGCGCGGTCGCAGGTGTCGTGGGGATAGAGGCGAACGTTGCTGCTTAGGCAGTGCGTAAATGACGTGGATGTTTATGGTCGTGCGATGCTCGTAGGTACCTGAAGAGCTCGACGAGCAAACTCATCGGCAAGATCTACAAGAAGGAGGGCGGCCCCGGGAGCAACAAAGAGAAGGAGCGAAAGAGGTTGCGCAGCTTCTCGTACGGCACGTTGCCGGGCCTCGACGAGCTGCGCACGAATCCGCTATTCGAGGACCACGAGCAGGAGCCCGAGGACAACGACAACGACTCCGGCATCCTCGATAACGACTCGGCGACAAGTTCGCTCCTCGACGACCGCTGCAGCAGCATCGCCTCGGAGTGCCCGGCCATCGGCATCTGCGAGCCCGCCGGCCTTCTCGGGCTACCGCCGAGGGTGCCACCGAGGCGACCGAGCGGCCCGCACTCCCAGCCCCGCAGAGACCTCCGGCTCAGCCGTAGCAGTTCGCTCCTCGACGAGACGGAGCCGCCGGCCCCGCGACACGAGCCGGCCGTGACTCCGGGCAAACTCGTCGCCATAAGGAGCAACGCGAGCGTTAAGAAGACGCTGATCGTTAAGCTGCCGCGCGAGACCAGCGACCAGTGCCTTGGCATCTTCATCGCCAAGACCCCGGACTCGGCGGGCTACCTCGTCGCTCACGTCGTGCCCAACGGCCTCGCCGACAACGAGGGCAGCCTGAGAATCGGCGACGAGATACTCATCGTCAACGGCAAGAGACTGCGCGGCCTCACGATGCCCGAGGCACGGAAGATCCTGAGCAGCGGTGGCGCGCCCGGCGACATCGACATCGTCGTCTCGCGGATGACGCCGAGCGACTCGCCCGTCCAGAAACGCCTCATGGAGAGCAGCGTAGATTACGAGAACGTGAGCATCGAGAACGGGCACGGGGTCATCGTCTCGCCCGAGGCCTCGCACTTCCGTAAACACCAGTCGAGACGACAGAAGAGCAATCGCTCCGAGGACGGCAGCAAGCCCGGGAGGGACGTCGAGAAGTCCATGGAGAGCCTCTCGAACTTCTGTACCCTGCCCAGGCGGCCCCGCAGCACCTTCTCCACCTTCCTCACGGTCGTCTTTGTCAAGGGTCCCGGCAAAAAGTCACTCGGCTTTACGATCGTCGGCGGCAGGGACAGTCCAAAGGGGAGCATCGGTACGTTGCCGCGGACAATATTCGAAAGCCTTTCACTATTTATTATGCCATCGATTCTTTTTTTCGTTTAAACGCACTTTAGTCCATTAACTTCGAATCCTCTGATCGATTAAACCCTAATATGCCCTTAATATATTCAGGCTTCTCGCGACTCCCGTTTTCTAGCCCTTTTTAGGCATTTCTTCTTTTCTCATTGATTATTTTTAGTTATTAATTTATTGATTTATTTATTTTTTCTATTTCTTTGGGTTTCCTTTAAGTTGGGCGTTCGGTACGATTGCCCCGTCGAACCGCCCGAGTTTCCGTGTCGAAACTAACGATGCCGAATAGGATCGCGATTTGCGCATTGCTCGACATCACTTTTATAAATTTAAATTCATTCGAAGGGAGATCGAATAATAATAATAGCCTTATCGTTTTGTCAATTATAAAAGACAAATTTTTTATTCGCAATTTGCTGGTGCGAATTGAATTACGTGGCGCTACGAGCCGATTAGAAGAAGCGATATTAAGATTATTAGGTACGCCTGTAGACACAGCAATGTACAACACTTACATATATCTTATATCGGCAAACTGTATTTCACTTTATTATAATACAATGAAGCATAGGGGTTGTATCATTACCATTATTACTTTTATTGTTAATCGTCGTAATTGTTTACTCATTTATTAGTAATATTATCATTGATTCTTATTTTATCATCCTATTACCCTATTATCGTTACAATCTATTATTACTATTATTACTATTATTATTATTATTATTATTATTATTATTATTATTATAGTTGTTGTTGTTGTTGTTGTTGTTGTTGTTGTTGTTGTTGTTGTTGTTATCGTTGTCGATATCGTCATTTATTCACGTTATCGAGGCTACGTCATTAAAGTCTAGCGCAACTCTTGAAACATTATGCCAACGAATTTTATAAAAATAAATTAATTTTTCAAGGAACAGCTCGTTTGCGCATAATCCGTCCCTTACGTGTCTGTCGTATCTCGCCAATGTGACGAGCAACGGTAAAAACCGACAACCTCCGCAAACTCATAATAATTCACTTAGTGCAGCAATATCGTTATGTACAACGTATGTAATGAGCCGGGCCCGCATGCTTTATAAATAAATAGATAATACTCCATCGAGTTCGCTTTAAAAGCCAACGGGCGAACGTATATTTGTTAAGAGGGCATTTGGTGTCCCCGTAAGCGAACTTGGCCTAAGCGCGCGTTATTTGTTGACATGTTGACAGGCATCTTCGTGAAATCGGTGTTGCCTGCTGGTCAGGCTGCCGAAGATGGTCGACTGCGAGCCGGTGACGAGATTCTGGCACTGAACGGGCAGATATGCCACGATCTGACTCACCGAGAGGCCGTTCAGCTGTTCAGAAACATTAAAAATGGCCCCATCGCTTTGCACCTCTGCAGGCGAGTTCGCAATCGAGAGGCACAGTTAGTATTCTTCTATTCCTTTATCTCTCTCTCTCTCTCTCTCTCTCTCTCTTACTCACTCTCTCTCTTACTCACTCTCTCTCTCTCTCTCTCTCTATATATATATATATATATATATATATATATATCATTTAATATGATTGTTTCCGATGCCAAATCTATTATCTAACGTAAATTACTCATTTTTGTTCATTTCAGAGTGATGAAAGCCAAATCGTGCGCCGATCTTCTATTGGCCGACACGTGACGAATGAAATTTGTACATTCTTATATATACGATTAATTATTATTAATATTAATATTAATGTTATTATTATCACTATTACTACTATTATTAATTATTATTAATTATTATTATTACTACAAATATTCTGTAAATATTGTAAATTATAAAATTGTTGATGAATAAATACATTATTTAATTGAGACGGCGTTTAAAAAAAAGGTTCATACTACACGATTCAAGCCAATATTTGAGTTTGAAAATTATGCGCTTTTTATTAACGAACGAGGCTGCTTAGCACTGCATATCATACAAAATTTCGCATTGTATAATATTCGTATGCAAACATCATACATAATCAAATAAATCTTCATTTTAAAAATCTTAAACATGTTCGAGGCCACCGAAGAGGCACTTTAAAATTAATGAGAAAACAGTTTTGCCGCATTGCAAATATACAATAACGAGACGATATGTCTATGATATAAAACTATACATATACAATTAAAGAAGTTGGCAATAGGCTATCTTCTGCATTACAATTGGGTCGCTTGACGTACTAATAAAGTGTCCAACTGGTCAATAAATTATATAAACGTATACAAATAAAGTACATAATAGACAACGAAGGGGAAAAAAGCAAGAAATAGAGAAAAATAGAAAGAAGGGAGGGAAAGGAAAGAAGAACAAAAATTTATATAAAACAATGAGAAACGGAGACTAGAATCTACGAATTCGAAAGTAGCATCGTGAATCGTCAATCGCCACTCGGATTATTGCCGAAGTCTGCAATGTAGGCACAATTGGTGGTATTCGTCTTCGTCTTCGTCCAAGATTTATTACTTTAGTACGGTGCCGACTTCGGAGGGACTTTATGATACCTTAAACAATAACATTATTACGTAAGTGACATGGTAATAATAATCGATGTAATCGGAGGTTATTGTATTATTATTATTTTTATTAGGTTTATTAGGTTATTGTTAGTGTAGTTAGGGCATTTGGGATATTTATTATTTATTATAATAGTGTATAAATATAAATTGTCATATAGATAGAGGGACTTGCTGGGGGGGGGGGGGGAAGAAATTTTAACGGGCACAAAATTAGCCATCTCTTCGAGTTGTCCAGTTGAATTCAATCTTATTTGTAAAAGAGAAAAACTCACAAATTATAATCATATCGTTATCCTCCGAGATGATTAAAATTGTGCTTATTACGATTTTACTGCTTGGTGAAGTTAATAAGAACTCGTCGTAATAACCACTAGCAAGCGACTTTCCTCAAGATTAGCGTGAAAATAGAAAATTGCCCATAACTCGGCGGTCTGTACGTTTAAGTTTTTTCTCTCTCTTTTCTCTTAATTCATATAACTAGAAATATTATTATACGCTTACTTTAATCTCTTACATATTAACGAGGATTATTTAATTTTAATATTTTTTTTTTTTATTTAATTTTCTTTTTAATTCAATTTAGCTGACTCGCTAATGAAAATTAGTGTAACGCCTTTTAAAATAAAAATTCTTCCTCCTCACACTGACGAAAGCGAAATTTTCCTTCTTTCTCCTATTTCCGAAGCTCAAATATCTTAAGCTGTTTCATCACTCCGTAATCAAGACTTCAAGAAGCTCCATTTAAATTAATTTCACGAGAGATTTAGAATTTCATGAAACACGTCGAGAAATCATGCTAACAGTCTAAACAGTTTAATTGCTCAGAGTATATTACGTCCCAGTTATTATCATTCGCTTATTTGTACGTAATATCGACGGTGCATTTAATTAGGCGAATCAAACAACAATTCACGAATAATTAACCTATCATTATTACAGGCACATCGTCACAATGTTGCCAAACTAATGTACAGAAGACGAACATCATTGTTCTGTGCTACATTATACTCTTTTCTTTCGACCTCTTAGGTACAAAGATGCACGTGCGAGCAAAGCAGAACCATTTCACGGGAGGCTAAAAGATAATTGAAAGTTACCTTTGTCTTCTCGTGAGCTCCAGCTCAACCGGTCCCTCGCGTACAGCCTTAAACAATTCGATGACTTCTTGATGAGTACATCCTCGAAGTATTTTTCCATTCAGACTCAGTATCTCGTCGCCTGGAATAATAAGAAGGGAAGAAAGCTTTAGTCTTACATTCATCCCAGCGGTCCTCTTTAAACTACGAAAGCCAAGTGGCTCGCTACGATAGTGAGCTGTAACGTTGGGAATATCGTAATGTTGAATGTCCATTAAACCATTAATAAACGTGATGGCGGACTTTCGTATCCTTCCACACTCAAACGCGAAATTCACATTGCTTTGTAAAGCTTTGTAAAGCTTTGTAAAGCTTCGGCGAGTATAGTGCACGCGTAACGGCCACGAGCGCTAATCCTGTGTGTTCGCGCCGCGGCACGTTGATCGACACGTTACACCCACGCCCGCGCGCCTTACTCGCAAATTACGACCGCCGAGGATTTTCGGTGCGAGCCCATGGAAGCTTCCATTACCATCAAAACGTGATTAGTGTCGAATGAATCTCAGACGAGTTTCTCGACGAAATGCCCCGTGATAGCCACAACAACACGTCCGACGCCCCTTCCAACACTACTAATACCCATGGAAAATGACGTTTATTTATAAGCGAATATTATTACTATTATTATTGTTATTATTATTTGAAGGCATCGGGACACGGTGGTTTATTTAAGCGCAACGTCGACAGTTCGTTAAAGAGGATAGGTTTCCCTTTTACGTAAGCAGCACCTGCCGAGCTCTAATTAAACGGGGGTTGTTGGATGGGGGATATTAGATGATATGATAAAATAGAAAGAAAATAAAGCTGGTGAGGAGGATGCAAGGGTGCGTGGGATAACGAGCGAAACGGTAAACATCCGGTCCGCAGTCCGAATCACGTGTTCCAACTAACTGGCTGAAATGCGCCTTACGAACGGCAACCGGATCAACGACACGGTTCCCCGGTGCTATTACGCGCCAGGCGCATGACGTGAGACCACGAGCCGCGAAGGGATCGCCGGTGGAGACGGCTGGTGAGGGACGGAGAGGGGCAGCGGCGTGGCGGGGGGGGGGGGGGGGGAAGGG